GTCTATGGGTGTACTTGTTTTGAAAATATACAATCTTGTAACGGAAGTTTATAGGAACTTATTGTATTGAAGGTCATGGTGGGAAGAAGGGGAAATGGATATTAACTGGGTATCTTTGGAATTTGGAATCACATAATGATCACACCAAAAGCACACCTCTTGCTTTACATGGTTAGATGCTATGTAATGTGTATTCAGTTTCGTCCTGAAGATTTTGTCTCTTCTTGGTGAGCTCCATGGTCATTTATCATTTTGTTTCAGGTACCCATTGTGGTGTGATTGTCTCGTTGTCCTAGTTTGCCTTTAGTTGTGCTGAATAACTAAAGTTTATGACTTACTATTCTGATTTATTTCTGTGAAGTAGATATGCGGTTGTTATAGTCAAAATGATTTGTTTATGTCGGTTTTTTTGACATTCTTCAAGATTGTATTGCTTCCCTGTTTTGGCTACAAAATGTAAAAGCCAAAATCTCTCTCACAAATGGATTTTCTTCCTTTCATGAACTCTTCAAATTTCTTTTAGTTCAAGAGTTTGTTTATTAATATTATGTTTTTAACGATTTCATCATCTTTATGTTTCTTAGGGCATCCTTCTGATATAATTCTTTACCTTCTTAACGTGTCTCTTGATGCAAGTCCTGTTAGACTCATGAAGAAACTTTAAATTTTTTTTTGTTTAACTGTGCAGGCGAAGTGTGCACAAGTTCTTCTCGAGGCTGGTGCAAAGGTGGATGCTTTGGATAAGAATAAGAACACTGCTCTTCATTATGCAGCAGGTTATGGCAGGAAAGAGTGTGTTCAACTCCTGCTGGAGCATGGAGCTGCTGTGTAAGCATAGTCCATCTAGTTTACAATCTGCTGCTGCTTTTAATTTCTGTCAAGCTAGCTTAATCCCAATTCTTTCATTTCACAGCACTCTCCAAAACTTGGATGGAAAGACTCCCATTGATGTTGCTAAACTGAATAACCAGCATGAGGTACTTAAGCTGCTCGAGAAGGATGCTTTTCTATAAACTTGGAATATAGAAGTGAGGTACTTGAGCTTTTCCGTCTATCAGGGTGTGATTGTGTTAGCCCTATGTATTTTGAGAGGCTGTCGTCCCGACTTCCTGTAATTTTTCCATTTGCTTCTGTATGATCATTATTTTTACTGTTTCCTCCACATATTACGCACATAATTGATAGTATCTGGGGTACTTAATATCTTGTCCGCTTCCTTTTATGTGGTCGGCAAATAGCACCTGTGTGATATCTGGAAAAATGCTGAAAATAGGCTGCTCCTGTGCAGTGTATTGTGAATTTTAGGCATGTGGTCATCAAAGGCTTTGCTTGTACTACTATTTTTCTCCTGCATCCAAATGGGGAAGGCTAGAAAATGCAATAATATCACGTATCAAAGCTTAATTTAACTTCGATTTCTGCATTGGCAAGACGCGGAATTTCTGCTTTGCCTCTTTGCCCTGCACAAGGTGCATTTCTACAGTCCTAAAACAATGCCCAAAAAGAAAGGCAAATGATAAAATGATAAAAGTGTGGAGGAGGATGCATTTCTGCAATCTGAACGATACGCGAAAGGAAAGGCATATGTGATACAATAGCACGAGTATGAATGGGGATTTGAATGTTCCCAATCCTTGAAATGAACTTTCAACTACATTCTAAATAAAATATCCACTTGCTACTATTTATGATTTACTTTTCCACCGAAAGCCAATGGCGTAAAAGTGGGTCATATATTATGTTTTGTAACAGATGACTATTTATTGCAATTTTCTCATAAAAAACGATTATGATTAAAAAGAGCTAATTATATGCCCTGCATCATAGTGAGAGCTCGGCATGTGCATAGCCCATAAATTCAATTCATTTTTGACAGAGCATCTAGGGGCTAGGGCTCCCCATTTTTTTTTTAAAGGAATTAAATGGGTGATTTGGGCACTTTGAACGGGTTGAAATTGGTAATAGATATAAGTGAATCAACCTATTTATATCCATTTTATTAGATGGGTATAAATTGATAAGTTAAAAAATGAGTTGGATAACTCAATTATTCATTTATAACTCATTTATTTTACTTTTTTTGTAAACTGATTTAAACTCATTTTTGCAAACTGAATTATCAATTTATACCACTCCTTGCGCCTATCATTCGTTTTAAATATTTGCTTATAATGCTCAATAATCTTAATTACCAATTTTTTTCCATCCATGCCCTATGTCACAAAATTACATATTATTTAATAATTGAACAATAAGAATATAAAAATTTGAACTAAGTAATATGAAAGTTAACATAAAACCTTAATCCAAAAACATTGAACTTCTAGCATTTTTTTCCATGTGTAAATTTAAAATTTTATTTTGGAAAGGTAGGAAAGAAGGTTAAAACTTGTGATAAATTGGTAATGTTGAAAAATGAGCAAGTTAACAAACTATGAGAAAATAAAATGATAAGATAAATCCAATAAATAATAATAATAATGAAACAAAAGTAATTAATATCATACCAAAATGAAGAATTTGAAAAAAAAAAAAGTAGGATATCTATCTGTGTCAAAAATGCATCAAATATTTGTTAATGTTGAAAAATAAAACAATTAACTGTATACAAGGTTTCAACAATGTTAATGCCTAAAAGTCTCCGACAATGAGTTTAATAATCAAACGTAGGCCTCAAATTTCTTTTAAATAGGTAGGGAAAGAGAGAAGGTTTTGGGAGAACAATTTTAAATGAGTTAATTAGATATGGTGGGTTATTCAATCCATTTATATCCATATACAAAAACTTAAAATATTAATATTCAACTATTCACGGGCTGGTATGGATAAATTTAATTAAATGGATTTGTTTGTCATATATAATTATAGCTATTCCCTTTTTAAAGTGGAAGATTTTGAGCCAAAAATTTCTTACTTATAATCATTTCTTTCTTACCATCAAACCCAAACCCTTCCCCATTATACCTATAGCTTAAGTGTCAATGTGACCATTTTTCTTAATAAATCAAACTATTTTTTTTTGTAGAAAAATAAAATTACATCATGTAACTACAATAAAAAAATCAATATTAATAGATTACAACTCGATAAAAACTAATATGAAAGGAAATTGTTGGGTTTTGAGAGAGCCAAATTCGAGGAGAATTTAACCATGAGTTAGAATGGGAATCACAACCATGGGTTTGACGCCACATCCAACCCAAAACCTTAAGGCATTGGATATATGGATCATTCCCACTTATATGTTTCTCCTTCTACTCTTTCCGATGTGGGACATTGATTCACACTTGATATCCAAACAATCTCCCCATCAATTATGAATCTCTTTCACATCGAACCTCTCTCCCTAGCCCATCCACTCCATCAAACCCATTTCAATCTGGAGTGTACGATTCTTGCTCAAGAGCTCACATGCCCTTGCCTCATTGCAAGTCTGCATGATTTTTTTCCCCCGCTCTTATCCAAGTCACGCCTTACCACTCCCACTGATTTTTTACCCTGGAGTCACTGCCCAGCCGAACCATCGATTCTGATACCACTTGTTGGGTTTTGAGAGAGCCAAACTCGGGAAGAATTTAATCATGAGATAGAATGGGAACCACAACTATGGGTTTGACACCACATCCAACCTAAAACCTTAAAGCATTGGATCTATGGATCATTCCCACTTATATGTTTCTCATTCTACTCATCTCTTTTCGACGTGGGACATTGATTCACACTTGATATCCCAACAATCCAGTTTGTTAGGGAGAAATACCTCGAGAGAGTCCACTAAAGAGGCCAATATGTAAGTTAGGAACCCAACTCTGATCCAAAAGGTTAAACTGTTAGGTTTTGGATTCTTACTTACATATTAACCGCTCTATCTCCATCTCTCGGATTAATGTGGAATACAACCCTTTACTTGTGAATCTAACAAATCTTTCCCTTTATGAGTAACCCCCACATTAAACTCAAATTTACAAGCTCTTTTTTCGAACCCACTTTAATACTCAATGCAAGCCCACTTTTATCACCAAGGTCACCTCTTCTCCCAAATATGGACCCACTCTTTTTTAATATCCAAATTATATTTTGGACCCTTGCCAGCCCTTGACTCCTTAGTCTAACATCAACCGGACCCCCTGCTAGACCCATGGCACACCTGGTCCAACAACAACCAAACTTCTTGGCACTTCGGTCCACCATCAAGAAGAGAATTTTCACCGGTCCAACTACGAGAAGAGTCCACTTGTTCATGAGTAACCAGTCTCGCAACTTGAAACTCTGATACCAGTTTGTTAGGGAGAAATACCTCGAGAGGGTCCACTAAAGAGCCCAATATGTAAGTCAGGAACCCAACTTTGACCCAAAAACTTAAGCTGTTAGGTTTTGGGCCCTTACTTACATATTAACCGCTCTGTCTCCATCTTTCGGACTAATGTGGGATACAACCCTTTACTCATGAATCTAACAGAAGTTTACCTCAAAACTCGTAAGTCTTGAACCAGAGCCTTTACCTCTTAATAATTTAACTTCAGTTAATTCACCACCAAATTAAAGTCTTATCGATATTATTAGTTCACCTGCTTATAAGCATGCTTATTTGAACTGCGCATATCATGGGAAAAAATGATTTGATTTCCCTTTTAATCTTACCAGAGGCACAAGCGATTGTATTGAAGTAATATCTTAGGCCTTTATCAGGTCCTTAAAAAAAAGGATTAATCTTTCCTACACTAACAGTGTATACGTTATTAGTATTGAATTAATGACAACTATATAAAAATTAAATTTAAAATTTAATTTTTGCACTCATATCATGAATCCAACGATGATAGTGTATACACTTTCAGTGTATAAAAGATTTATTAAAAAAAAAAAATCATTTGTCCTCTTTGTTTAAGTTTCACTGGACACCCGGGGTTAGGACGATTGGTCGAACCAATCGAGTGAAAAACCGGTCTTTCGTCTGTATGCTCCGTACTTCTTCGGTATAAATGTTTTTATCAGCCTCCCTTTGTTTACTTCCTGCCCTCCTCTCAAACCAAATTCTCATACAACTAAAATATCAATCTCCGGTATAATTTTCGTTATTATCGTCATATTCTATTCCGACCTCAAAAGCTTTTCGCAGGAAATACGACAAACTACTTATCTGCAATTCGTCTCTCAATTTCTAGGGTTTGTATACTTATGTGATACTCTCACAGATCCATTAAATTGCTAATTTTCCTGGTTAAACTTGTCACAATTACTAACTCGTCCGTTTCCCCTAAAGAAAATATCCAGATCAATAACTATACTAGATGTGAACATAATTTAAATTTGTTGTTTAACATTTTTTTGGGTGTTTTTGGATAGGTGATAGTTGCGTTATGGCAGGTAATTGATTAATTAATTAATCAATTATTGAGGTTGAAGGAGGAGATGGGGAGAGAGAGGGATTTATCGAGGTCACCTTCGTATCGGCGGAGGTATTCGCCGTCGCCGTCGCCCGTGGGGCATAGGTATAGCCGGAGGAGTGGTCGGAGAGATAGAAGCCGATCACCTTACTCTCACAGCAGGTGATACCCGATTGCTCGGACTCTGTGTGTGTGTGTTTGTGCATTTATAACTCACAGATGTTTAAGACTCACCTTTTTTTATGTCTTTGTTGAATCAATTACAGTTTATTCAGGCTTGTGATGTTCGTGTCTTGATCCGTTAAAGTATTGATTGCTTGTCTGCGCCTTTTTCGTGTCGAAGATATATTTTGCAGCTTCAGAATTAGGACTTTTTGGTGTACTGTGGTATAAAAAATTTGTCAAATTGGAGATATTGGGTTGATTATCTTGTCATTATATTTAAACAAAAACCAAATCAAATTGCAGTTGAAGTGGATATTTCCCCTCCTTGTGAATATGTAACTTTCAATTACATAGTTCTCTTCATTACACTCATATAAAGGCTCGAATGGAGAATGTTTAGGTTGATCTGTCGCAATGATGCCAGTTGCAACCATTACTTCCTGAAAGGTTCATTTTTGAAGGACTGCAAAGATATTTGGGTAGTGTAGATTTGATCTGTATTCTCCACACTTGCTGAACATGAGATTGTGAGAGCAAGGGACCATTCTTTTGAAGGATCATTCTTTTCGATTTGTTAAACTTCTGTTATGTCTGAGAAGCACATTGGTGGATGAACCACTAGTCTTCTGTAGTAATTCATGTTATATTCCTTCAGCAAATGGTCATATATCTGCAACAACTCACCAGCAGACTCTTATATTACGTCAAGATCTGTGATTTCTGCTATTGCATCGTGCTGTGATTCTGCATATGAGAATTGTCAACCATCTGTCCGCAATTTGATACTCTTTGTGCTTGTAGTTGATGGCTGTCATACTTCTTCAACTCTTGCTCTTTCATCTTGAGTATATAAGTTGCTCGATTAGTGTGAAAGGTAGTTGTTGGACTACACCTGTTGTACACTCTCCTTTCTTTCTCTTTTAGAGACTAAAAGATCTGACTTGGGGGAGTTTGGGAAAAGTCTATTAAAACATGAGTCACACACTACTTGTCTTCTTGGCGTGAAAATTTAAATTTAAAAAAGAAACCATGGCTTCCCTTTGATATGGGAAGTTAGCAGGTGATGGGTGGCGATGGGTGTCCTCCTGTTGCTTGTTTGTGACATTAGCAGTATCTTATGGTAAAAGATGGAGCAGTCAGTTTAATATCAATTAATGAGGTAACTGTACATGTTTAATTTCTATTCCATACTATGGCGAGTTTGTATGATGCAATATTGTATAATAAGTGGCACTTAATATCTTAGTTTGATGTTCAAGTATTCTATTTTGTTACACAGAAGAAGACGAAGTCGTTCGATGTCCTCTCGACATCGGAAAAGTCGTTCCCCTACCCCAAGACGACGTAAAAGTCCCTCTCCAACACCAAGGCGACACAAAAGACAAAGAACTAGAAGTATCTCACTCAGTGCATCTCCCGGTGTTAGTGTTGGTATAAAGGAGCAGAAAGATATTAGTGAAAAATTAAGAAAAGAGGAAGAAGAAAAGAAAAGGTATAACTGTTCTTTATATCCATTCATGTTTTTTTTTTTTTCATTTTTTCCCAGTCTGTACATGGGAGCATTTAGTTATTTCTAATGGGGGTTTGTTGTTAAAAAAGCATTTTATTGAATCATTTCTTCATCCATAAGTTGTGAATAAATGTTTCTGCATGCTGTAAGTTCTTTGGAAGTTTAGCCTTTCTTCTTGAAGTTTTGAATATGTGTCTTGTTAAGATGACTCTGTCATGGAGTTAGATCCTCATTAAGTGTGTATGTACTTCTTGTATCCTGTGATGACTGCATGTTGTTCAAATGTGTGAAACTGTCTCACCTTTCCTTAATTTTCGTGGCTCTGTGTCTAATATTCGAGCATACAATTGGTAAGGTGTAAACTCTCTGATTCAAGACTTATATTAATGGTTTCCCTGAATGGAAAAGAATAAGATGGGGGAATCAATGGATATCCTAAGTGTCTAACGATACTCATTAATCATCAAACCACCATCTCAGAATGGTGTTTGAGCGTGTTGTTAGGTGGAAACACACGTACACACGCATACATACATACATGCACACACACACACACATGTATTTTCTTTTTTTGACTTTGCTTCTTTTGCTTCATTTTGATTGAAGATTTGGTCATGTGGATGCTGAAGTTGCATGAAATTATATGCCATCCAAAACAAAGGGGAATACCTGTACTTTACTCTTTAAAGTATGTTATGACTCGGTTACGAGTTAAATTGCCTTCAGATGTTGCTTGGTTCAAATAATGGGATGGAAATCAAATAATGTGAGGAGATGTATTCAGTTTAGGCAAAATAACACAAGATGTTTACACATACTGCAATGGATAAGAGTATAGGTCTTTTTTACATGACCGGTGACACCCTGAATTTCTGTCAGCTTCTTGGTACACCTACCCTTGAACTCTTTCCTAGCTTGAATTTTTTTTAAAAAAATATATTGGACCTTTTGGTCTGTATATATTCGAACTTACTGTTGTACCGGAACCTCCACAAGATATTTCAATAACCTCCATGGCCCATAATCCACACAAATCCCCTCAAACCACAAGCACAAGTCAGATCTTCATGAATTTTTTTTTTCTTTATCAGTCAATTCAGGGTGAGGGGCAGGAGAGCTGAGGAGACTGGAAGCTGCATGGTCTTATCTGTGATTTTCCTTTTCCTATTCTAAATATACCCAGGAACCAAGTGAGAGTATGGATTGAAAACCACCAAACTTTCAGAAATGACTAACTTCATAGATGGTAGGTTTGATTTCATTGAGTGGGTGTTTACTCAATACAAATTCGGAATCACTTCATGTCGATTCCTTAACTCTGTGCAAACCAAGAATAGAAACCCAATAGAGAGCAAACAATACCATTTCACCAAGTGTCAATTATCAAATTTAAGGTTCAGGTTCAGTTCTTGCAGCTAATTTGTGACACAGTACGTACGACTGCAGCAAATTGGCAAAATGACATTTTTCTCTTTTCTTATTTTTGTTCACATTCCAAATATTTGATGCCATGCAGTAGTCTCTCATTTGTCTTAATCATTAATTGTATTTAGAAAGTCAGCTAACATTTGTCTTGAGATATTTCTCCAATTACTCAAGATACACAAAAATTTTATTACAGTCCATACCAACTTGGCAAGCCTAGTAGTTGGTCTTTGACCAATGAATTAGCACTGACTGGACAAATAAAGAACCCCCAATCTTATTTGGATTGTATGTAATGTGGAATTAGGGGGCTCCACAATCTTATTTAGTGCATTTTCATTGGTCAAAGACCAGCTACTAGGCTCACCAAGTAGTTGGTCTGGACTGTGATAAAATTTCTCCAACATACACTGTCGGTGCTGTCTGCTACTACTTGTCTAAGAAGAAGAAACGTGACTGCTTTACCTTTCGCTTCTGCTATCTAGCTCAAGCAGATTCATCCTGAATACTTCTGTGGTTAGTGGTCATTTTTCAGATGATTAAATTATAAATTGCAGCAGCCATGCATATATAACTATCAAATGTTAAATGATATTAATTACTTTCATGATTAGAATATCTTTCTGCTGGAAAGGGCTTCTTTTCCCTTCTATTCAAGCATCTGGTCTGCACATTTATTAGTTTGATCTCAATACCTCCGATTGATTTTTGCTTTCTCTTCTTGCATAATTTGTTCCTTGAATCTAAGTTTAGCAACTGTTGCTGTGCTATTAGGCCTGCTACTTCCCCGTTTCCTCTTGGTGTGTGACATTTGATGACTCGTATATTTGAGCTTTAGTTGAACAGAGGTTGTAATTGCTAGTGTTTTCATTTTGTGGAGCTTTAGTTGTATATTTATTCATGTTCATACGTACCTGTATTCGTTGTCTTAATTTGTCGTGCATCCTACAGGGTTGCTCGATCTTCTCTAATTTATCTGATTTCTGAGCATTTGACATCTGCTGACTAGCCATATTCTGATCTATGCTCATTTTCCTGTGTTAAAATTATCAAGGTTTTACTCTTTTGAATGTTGTGACAATAGTAGAAAATGGATAGCGGATGGGGATTTATTTGATTATCATGAGCAGAACGTGGACAGAAACCTAGTTTTACTTTATTGTTGCTTAGTTGGGGGCTTTCTGGATTTTGTCCTGGAATCTGTTCTTTTCAGATAAGATTGGTTCCCTCCTTTCTCACTTCAATTGTTTGTGTCTGTGCTTGTGCGCGTGTGGAGCTAAAAAACTAATAGGCTGCCAGGTGTTTTGTCTTTGCCTTAGTGTGCTCAAGTGTATGTCCAAGATCATCATTATATATTCTAACAACTTTTGAGTTTGCTTTTTAATGTGAGGGCTGAGATATTATGGTGATTTTGAAATTGCCACAGTTTACTTGACATTCTTCTTCACAGGGTAATTTGAAGGAAGTTTCTGCTGTAATTGTTTATTTTGATGCAAATTGGCTGCCTGCTTTATCTACTGTTCACCAGTTTTGAAACTCATTGTTTGGATCAGGAATCAGTTAGAGGTATGCTTTTAAAGCATAAGCATATATATTTAGTGCCTTTCTCGACAAGGAGGTTAGTCTGTCATTCATTTTAGTTGTAAACTAAGGAGAAAGAAAAGGTGGTGATTTTCTAAATTAATGTTGTTTGATATTTCTGCTGTTAACCAGAAAATTAAAAGTAACTGGAAAGGAAGCTTGTAGTTCTTTGCAGATAAGGCCCTTTCTATTTATTATGATTAATAAAGGAAAATTTTATGTCTTGCTCCAGCACACGGGCATCTCCCCACTTAACTTCACTTTTGTTTTCTTACAGGCGTCAACAGGAGGCAGAACTGAAGCTAGTAGAAGAAGAAACTGCAAAGAGGGTAGAAGAAGCAATTCAAAAGCAAGTGAAAGAAAGTTTGGACTCTGAGGAGATTAGGGTTGAAATTCAGAGGCGACTGGAGGAAGGTCGGAAGCAACTAGTTGAAGAAGTTGCTGTTCAACTTGAAAAGGAGAAGGAAGCAGCTCTTATTGTAGCTAGACAAAAAGAGGTAAGAAACTTGTAGATTCCTTCCATCTCCAGGGGTTTTTTAACCATCTTAAAGAGTATGTTGACGATGTCGCGTCAATGCCTTTCTATCTCCATGGTTTCTGTCTACAAGGTTATATGTATATGAACTTGCTGCTGTTTGATCTAGTTTAGAGTCTAAATTTACGTACATATGTGTGTAGGAACAAGGCCGCAAAGAGAAAGAAGAGCTGGAAAGAATGCTGGAAGAGAACAGAAGAAAGGTGGAAGAAGCACAGAGGAGGGAAGCTTTAGAGCAGGAGCGAAGAGAAGAGGAAAGGTATCGCAAACTGGAAGAGCTTCAAAGACAGAAAGAAGAGGCCATGCGAAGAAAAAAACAGCAAGAGGAGGAAGAACGAGCAAAGCAGATTAAAGTGCTTGGCAAGAACAATTCGAGGCCAAAGCTGTCCTTTGCCTTGGGTTTGAAATGATACGGAGTTGTCGTCTTCTTTAGGTTGGAAGGTCTTGTAGAAATTTTGTTATTCGATTTTCTTGACAACTTTTTGTATTTAGCAGCTACAAGTGGAAGCTTGCATTGTAATAGGAAATCTCATGCTGGTACAGGGTTTGTTGTCTTATTAATCTGTTCGTTTAGTTTGTTGTCAATGCGGCTCTCTTTTCATTCATCATCAATGTGTGCTTCATACTGTGCCATGCCATATAAAGTTAAATAAACCTCCGCGTATGCAATCAAAAAGATTTCAACCAACCATGAATTTTCGGGCTCGCATTTCACCTCCTTTCCACCTACAAATAAATATTATGCCAGCAACTTACAATGATGAATCCACAGGCCCTCGTTCACGTCGTTGTAGGAGCGTCACTTAAATGGAATGTACGTTCACTTAGTTGCAGACCTGAGGGCAGAGGTTAAGGCCTTTCATCGTCGAATGTGCACTGTGTATGCATCTCTATCAATTTTACTTCTTATTCTTTCTGTGTTATTTGTCATTGTCATTTTTTAAAATCTTTACTCCTGAATCTATTCTAGTTCTAGGTTGGCGGCTCCTGCCATTTAGATTTAAAATGTGAAAATGAGCGTAAAATGTATTGGGTTCCCACCCAATGCTTTGATTGGCTTCTATAAATAAGACCGCTCCCACTCATTCTTTCCCGTGGACAAGAGACGATCCAATCTCCACAGAGTTCATGGACGATACTAATCATGCATGGTCTGTAAAAGCCGGGCTTGGGCTGGTTCACGGATAAGGGCTCATTTTGCCAGTCTCACATATGATTACATGAGAAAAGCAATGTCGAATGTAGGTTTTGTGTGGTCATCGAGTGTGTCGCACGGTCCACGGATGATTTTATATATAATATGAGTTTGTTTGGATTGCCATTTTTTTGTCCTCCAAAAAAAATTGTTCGTTACATCATAAACGAGTTTTCTAAGTCCTTTTTAAAAATTTTTCTTCAATCATCTGTCCACATTTCTAACTAACATACATTATAATGTTAAGGGTATAAATTAACGAAACTACTTGACTTGAACTGGCGACATTGATCAAGTTTGAGTTATGTTTGAATTACTAGATAGGGCAATCGAATTGAGTTCGAGTAGAAAATCTCAAAATTTGAGTACTTGTCAAGTCTTATCGAGTAGTACAATTATAATATAATTTTTAATTATTTATTGTGAAATTAAAAAAGATACCAAAAAAAAAAAAAAAAAGCTTGAGAGGCAGATTGAGCTCGATTGAGTTTGATTATGCTAGATTTTGGTTAAACTCAAATTTGAGTTCGAATAAGGCAAAATCAGATTGAGCTTGAACTCAACTATTAAAATCTCGAACTCGAGTACAAGTTTAAGTGTTTTTACTCGAGTAGAGCTCCAGTAATTTTGCTAAAAGGACTAGTATCAAAACAACAAAGAGATTTTCAGCCATCTTTTAATTTGTCTAATCACACATCCATCTTTCTAAGTAATAATCATATCATAAAAAGTACACTATTCTATTTTTTTTTTCAAATAATCTTTAACTGAAACACACCCTAATATCTACCTAAGTAATTTGGCTAAAAGGAGCAGTATCAAAACAACAAAAAGATTTGAGTTGACTATAAACGGTATGCACTAAATGAGCCATGGGGAGTTGCAGCCTCAAAGATTTTATTTTTGCTGATTTTTTTAGTGTAGAAGGATATTCGTACCTTTTGCTATATTTGATGCGTGTGTAGCTCTTCAAATCAATGAAATGATTTTTTGTTATTTATAAAAACAAAGGTCAAAATATGTCATCATAACACTCAACCATTTATGTTTTTATCCCCCAAAAAAAAAAAAGAGAACTCATACATAGACTATATTTTTATCTTTTTCGTCTAAAAGGAAACCAAACTCTGCACTTAGTCGGTGGTCAATTATGATTTTGCTGCTTCCATATCAACGAAAACACAGGAAGAACCCCCCCCCCCCCCCCCCCCCCCCAAAAAAAAAAAACTTGTGAGGGAGTTTTTGATTTTGAGATACTGGTTGAACCAAAACTTGTGAATCTAGAGTGTGGTTCAATTCATGAAGCTGAACAAAAAACTACCCATGTCACAGTTGAAGGTGTTATAATATGTTTTTGCTTCTTATAAAAATTATCTGCGATGTCGCCCTCTACCAAGTAGGAGCCTAAATGGCAACATGTCTGCAGTATTATTCCATTTAAGACCAATGTCAAATTTCACTTCCTCTAATTAAGGTTGAGATCTGTAATTAATTTAATTCCAGAAAATCAAGTTTTGGTAAACTGAACTTTCATTATTCATTAGGTCAAATGCTTAAGGTTGGACACTCAAGACTGAAAATTGAGGGTGATTGCACTTAGGAACTCCTCAATTTATCGTATCGAAAGATTGCTTTGCCACCCCAAAAAAGAACAGCGTCTGTATGTGTTTGGATTGCAATTTTTCTTGAAAAATTGCTACGATTTTTCGTGAACATATTTTTCAGTCACTTTTTTACCTCGCATATATCAAATCGCTACAATAATTTTTCTACAAAAGAATCCATAAAAATGCAATCCAAAATACAATCACCTTTTTTTTTTTTCCTGCTTCCCCGTCTCCTACATCCAAAATTGGCAACCAGATTCAAACCCTATTCTGCCAAACAAGACATCAAATCCCCAACCAACAGTCCAACAACTGTTGGTCAAATAGGAATGGAAAGGGCGGGCGGGAATAATTAAGTAAATCCAATCTATGAAGACAAATCTATACATTAACCGGTTGCTATGTCACATAAGAAAGGAAACAGAATTCAGAGAATTATGCACTGCATGCAAATTATATCTCAAGAGGATTAGTGCCCTACAAATATAAATACATACACGACCAATTTACAAAAATGGTGACATTTGTTTCTCGTCTTGATATAAGGGAGGTTTCAATTTTAACCCTCTAAATTTTCCTTCTGAATTTCCCCACTTCTGCTGAAAAAAAGAAAGAAAGAAAGAAATTGAATAAGGATGGGTGGAGGGATCAATAATTATATTTTGAAATGCAGTGAGCTGTCACGGTCATGTCTGACTGTGTACTGGCTTATCATTAACACATAATTGTTTCCGCAGTGGGGTGGGGTGGGGGGAGAGGGACCCACAGCAGTAGTAGCCGGCTCAGACGGCAGATGATGTCACGTTGTCAACGTTGTTCCGGTCCACTCCGTCTAAAAACAATGGGACCCACAGATCTCTGAAAATAAGCTGGGTTGTTCGCGTGGGTCCGATCCGAATTCAATTCGTCTACGTGGCAATCCATCCCTAGGCGCAAGGGAAGTTGGTTATTTTGACCGCCTTTTACCGCTGCAAGATTTCGTGGTTTTAAAGCTAAACCCACGACGTTCGTATTTACACGCTTTCTCTATGTTAACGTCAACAGCGGCTTGGAGGAATGTTTCACATGCGATGCGGCGCGCGTCAATAAATTGACACAGGAGTACCCTGCTACCTTGTTTCGCGGGCTGTCCTGCTCGGGTTCCCGGACCCTCCGTTTACGCTGACAACTCAGCCAATTGGATAATGGTTCATAACTCCATGTTTCCATTTTCAAAGGAAAAAAAAAAGCACGCATATTTCACATGTTTAAAAGTTTATCTTTTTTTTTTTTTTTTTAAGTTAGGTTTTGGTTTATTTTGCTTCTTATTCTTCTAAATAATAGTCATGTTTGAATTATGATTTTTTGCAGAAAACTTTTTACGTTTTTCATGAATATATTTTTCAATCACATTTTTACCTCAAATTAATCAAATCGCTATAGTATTTTTTTTCTACAAAAAAACTCCTAAAAATAACAATTCAAACAGGATATTTTAGTTTCACGGTCCATCATTTTTAGTTTCACGGCCATTTTTTTGTACAAAGTGCCACCCAAAATTACCCTTCTCATGTCTAAATGCAATTTGGAATTAAGAAGGATAGTTTTGATTTTTTAACATAAGCTTGCTATGGAAATAAAATATGGACCATGACATATCATTTGCCATAATGTTGTCAATTTAATAACATATTTGACATTAAAATGTGAGTTGTGGTGGCAATATGTTTTCCTGTGATATGTACTTGGAGAATGGCTAGTCTTCAAATTTCTGGTACTCCCAAATAGATTAATTAACAAAACCAGGCATTGTTGAGTACCAACTACAACTTTGTCAAGGAACAATATGTGAATTTGCAAGAGATACATGGGTGTAGTGCAAATTACAATAATGTCCCTCTCGGTCCCTTGTGCAGTGTTCTTACACTGATAGTATAAACACCTTTATTATTGGATGCATAACACATAATTTGCATTTGAACCAAATTTTACACATGTGTCGTGCATCCAATATATATATTGTCAATAATAGTGCATCCAATCATAATAGTATATATACTGTTAATATATATAAAATTTACTATTTTGAATTTGCAAGAGATACATGGTAGTAGCTAGTACAATAATGTCCCTCCTGGTCCCTTGCGTTGCGTTCTTACTTCTCGAGAGTGAAGATGGCTCTGCAAAAGGAAAAGATTATTATGCTTCTCAAACATGGCAGATCGGCCCCTTTAACTCTTAGCTCGTATTTGCAATCGACGTCCTTGTATACTCACTCTACTTCCCAAAACCCAAATCTACAAGCAACTAACGTTATGGATCCTGTAACTTTGCCGATAATTTAGCCTGTTCAAAAACGTTTAATGTGAAAGCTACTGCTTTTCTTTCTCATTTCTTTTCTTTTTTTTTTTTTTTTTTGGGAAAAGTGAAACCTCCTTAAGATATATATAGTGCTAGATTGTTGTCTGAACTGCGTAGACAATTAGAAGAACCTTTCTTATAGTGGATGAACATCAATTTGGCAAATAATACGGCCAAGTCTGTCAAGTAATAATAACTAGGATAAACAGTCAAGTAATTAAGGCACCTTTTGTTCTCTAATCGGTTGTGCTTTTAGGTAAACCATTTTTAGGATTGATAGCATCTATACCATCTATACGTAGTTTATATTTCTCCATTGTTCTTAAAGGGTTGTGATTTCTAGAGTTAAAAAGGACAAAGAAATTATGATTTAACAACATTATGTCCTCTTAAATTATCAGACACATTAGTAGAGATCCTTGGATTGTAGTTTTCTACAGAAA